TAGTTTTTTAAGATTATACAAATTAAAATAATTATATTTTACAATAACGAAAAATTTATTTATTTCAGCTTTTTTATTTTTGCATATATTTTAATTCCTTTCTGACTATCCAATTAATAAAATAATAATTTAACTTTATTGATCTCACATTGGAGAAATTTATCTCTACATTTAAGCATCCCCTTGGGGAGCAGTGGGCTGCCATTGTGCCACACCCGGGGAGCAATCAGGGGTTAAGGGTTTTGCTCGGGAACCCAAAGTGGAGGCTGTGGGGATCTAATGAGGAACTTGCAACCTTCTCAGAGCACAAGAGCGCTTCTCTAACGCACTAGGCCAATGCTCCCCTAGTTAAACACTGCTTATCACTAAAACCCACACCAACACAAGCAGACTTATTGATTGGCACAAACCCATACAGTCAAAAATGACATATCAGTGTCACAGACAGCCTTTGCTATACTCTAAGACAATCAGGAGATGGTATATAGTCCATATTATGGCATTCTCGTCCTGATAGTATGACAGCAGGGATGAATTTCAATCAGATCACTTTTTCATGCATGTTGGGCAAAGCCTCAGATCATCACCTAATGGCTTTTTCACATCATGCTTTGATTTATTACATTTAAGTTAAATGAAAGCACTCATATCGATGTTTTAAGGCCCTAACTTAAACTTACTGCTTTGAGGCATTATGGAAAAAATAAAAAGTCATCAGCCAAGATATCAGAAAGGAAACAGTGGATCACCTAGGTTCTGGTTCATCCTCGGGTAAAAAAGATGCCATAAGATACCATGTTCATCTATTTATTTGTATTCAAGCTCAAACACTGAGGATATGTCCAGCCTTTACACATCCTGGGATGAACATGAGTCTCTTACTCAAAGGACACCCTTTTTTGGGGGACATATGTTTCTAACAACAGGAAGTTGGAGAGTTTGGCTGAAGTGAAAGTCTGTATATTTGGAGGGAAATGGGTGTAAGGCTTGTAAGCAGAAATACGTCATCCCAGCTGTAAAGTACAGTAATGGCAGCATCATGGTATTGGGGGGTTCTTGCTAGATGGCAGGTGCATTTAAAGAAATATATATTAACATATCATTATTATATAATTAGCAAAGAGGGTTTTAAGAGGTTAGATAGATGCTAAACATCCTCTTCATTAATTTTGACATTTAGCAAAAATAAATATTTTTTTTTAACTTTGAGCAGAAAACGTTTAAAAAGGGTTGATTTAATAATAAGTTTATAAGTGTAAAAAAAAGTCTGTCGGCATTGAATATGAAGCATTTGCTGCAAAATAGTTTTTAGATATTTATAAAAGCTTTCAACATCTTAATTTGATGAGGCAATAGAATTGGAAACTCCTCGATGCATAACTGGTTTCAATGCCTCACTGAAAGCAACAGACACCACCCTGTGTAGTATTTGCCGCCATTGTTTTAGCCTCTGAAAGATAGGGCGGTTTTAGCATTATAAGTATATAAGTAAGTATAAGTATAATAAAAATTAGCTCAAGTTGTGGGAAATGGAATTTTTTACAGTTAGAATCGTTGAAAAAAAATCCAATTGAATTTAATTTTGTTCATATTGAACAACCTTATAACTCAAGACATGCAGGAACACAAACTATCCTCTATTAGTTTAACTATTGGTTTGTGGTTCAGAAAATAATTTGTGTATAAACGGTTGAAAGTTCTCATATTCGTTTCTGTTTGGCTCACAGGATCCGCTGTCTGGCAGCTCATTGCCTCCTTCCTCAAACTGCCCATCTCTGGGACTCACTGCATCGTTGGAGCCACCATTGGCTTCTCCATGGTGGCCATCGGCACAAAGGGTGTTCAGTGGATGCAGCTTGTCAAAATTGGTAAAAATATCACTACAGAAATCTGTCAATTGGGTTTTAGTTGGTAATCCATCAAAGAAGACATTACAAAAACATGCAACTGCTCCTCTCTTTAAGTAATAATCTTTTCTTCTCCACCAGTGGCTTCTTGGTTCATCTCACCCTTGCTCTCTGGACTCATGTCTGGACTCCTCTTCTTGCTCATCAGGTACTTCATCCTCAACAAGGTGAGCTTTTGGTTCACAGTACTTTTCATGCCTATTGTCATTTCTGCCTCAAAGGTTATTTTAACTTATAAAATCTTTTTGATTGAGGAAGTCAGTGTTTTAGCTTTTCTTTAAATGACTGTTGGATTACATAAATGTACAACAGCCTTCTCAGGGGGAGCCAGTTCAAACATTGCAACTCAAGTTCTGGTTTACGTGTACTGAAAACTTGGGCACTGATAAACCAGTTTTGATTTGGCAACACATGCAAATCTGATGTTACGTAACTGGTGATAACAGGCTGGCCAGCAGGACAAAAAGTGTTGCAGATTTAAGGTCACTATTGCAGACCTGTATGACAAGGAGTCACATGATCGTTTATGAGGTCAGCCGGAGTCACTGCATAGATGAGACAAACTTCTTTCTCTACGCCTTGTAGTCACAGATGCCATACCTTAAAAATGACATGAGCTGAGCTAGATTTATTTATTTTAGAATTTATTATTTTATAGAGCTGATTACCTGCTAGTTTGTAGGCTTGCAAATAAAATTTAGGAACACTATTTCAGCAAGTAAGGTTAGTCTTCATCAGAGTAGATACAGTTAATGATGAGAAAGACTAAAAAATGCAAAATATACACAAGCATTGGGCAAAAATAAGTCACATGAGTTATGAGTAGGCATAAAGTTTTCAGCTCAAAGTTGCAACCATTGAGCTCTGTCTTAAAAAGCATGAATAAGTTGTTCCTTACTAAACCAGGTGTTGGTTTTAGCAAGGAACAACTTAATTTCAACACGGCTCCTGCACTTCATAGGAATTACAGCATTAATAATTATGGGCAAAATGGTTAGAATTGGTTAGAATCCTAAGAATTGTCAATTGTTCGTCCCTGAGCAAGACCCTTGGCCCAAAAATACCTTAGATTCTGTACTGATCGCAGCTCCCTGAGGGATGGGTTAAACACAGACAAATCTTGTTGTAATGCACCAAGCTGCAATGCCAAAGATGATTAGTAGAAGCAGTGGTAGTTGCTGCAGGGGTTGTAGGAGTGTAATGGTACCCTTCTACATACCAAAAATATGTGGTTCAGCTCTGTTGGTTCAGTATGTAGATGTACCAAACAAATACAGCGTTGTTTATACCTGAATGTTTGCAGGTTGTTTATGAGCAGAACTAAGTGTGCAGTGCAATTTATTGTTGTACAGAAGTGGTGAATGGAAGGTGGTCCAAATGTCACCCAGCTCATGGCAACCACAAAATAAGCTCCCAAACATGAGCAGTGTTTCATTAGAAAAACTTCAGGCATACCCTGCTATTGATTATGCCCACTGATATCTCTTGTTTTTTCATTGAATATATTTTAACCAAATTTACTGTCTGTTCTGTATTTTTTACTTAAGGTTTAGAAAAAAATAAAATAATTGAAAATATAACATATAAAGAAATAATTTTACTGAAACTGTACTAATCTTGGGTTTTGAAACCCAAATATGTATTTATGTTGATTTGTATGTACCATTTCACCTGTAAATAAATCTTTCACATAGTAGGTAAGAACTGTTACTTTAAAAAAATGTTAGAAATATAGATCTCATTAATGAAAGAGTAAACCAAAATTTCACATATCACATTTTATGCTTGGTTGATGAAGATGCCATCGCCTGTATTTAAATTGTAAACCACATTAACCAGCATGTCAACATATAAACTGATTATAATTCAATCCAATAAAGCAGTTGAGTCAGGTTCTGCACTTTGCAGCAATCCCTTCTCCTAGTTTATTACTTGTAGAAACAATTTGTTTGCCTCCATCTGAGTCAATAGTTGAGCAAGCAAACCTTTTCTTTGGAGGCCGTGTTGGTTCACGTATAGGGTATTTACTGCATGTCCTCTGCCTTTCTCAAAGCACTTCTTTCCGGCTAAACTGGTTTTATAATTTCAGGTAGGGCTGGGCAATATGGCTTAAACATCTAATCTCTGATTCTTTTTTCTCTCAAATCAAAATAATGTTTTTTTTATGTATTTTTTCACTTAAGTTTCATAATAAAATGACAAATGACATATTGCTTGCAAAAGCTAGCTATTTTCAATCATCCCCTCTGGGAGGTGACTGTAATTTAAAGCCATTCAAAACTTTGCCACTCTCCTTGATGGGCCCTTGGCTGGTCTGTGGCTGGTCCCCTTCAATTCCTTTCTAAACATAATTTCTTTGTACAAAATATTCTTTATGTCATGATTTTTGGACATTAAGATCTAAAGAGAAGCTTTATCTCCTGGTTACACCCTGTAATTCAGTGAAAGGGTGGATTCAGAGTAAACAAAAATAGCATGACCAGGAGAAGGCCAGTGGCTGGAAGTTGGAGGGGATTTTGCTGGGAGCTGCAGGGAAGCGGGCTGCCATTTGGCTGGCATTTGACTGGGAGGGGCTCCTTTGAATGGCTGCTTCTTTAAAATAATAGTGTTTTGCAATAAAAGAAAATACAACAAATTAAATGTTTGTAGCTAGTGGTTTGACACACTGCAGTAGTTTATCAGTTATAAGTACGCATCTGAGACCAGAAAGTAATGAACTGATGTCACTCTGGGCTATGGACACCCAAGGAGTGGGTTAGTTTAAAAGATCTATATTTCCCAAAATGTAAATCTTCAAAAACAAAAATTTATCTATCGATCAATCGCCAAGCCCTAATTTTAAGGAATCTCAAGAATAAAACTAAACAGCACAGTTTCAGATTAAGGGATTTCATCTGGTGAAATTATTTTTTTTTTCGTTTATATAAAATATATTTAGGGTTTCTAAGATGGAGAGTTGGAGTGAAACTAAAATGACAAGTAATGTTTGAGAAACTTATCCTGTCCTTGCTTTTTAGGAGGATTCAGTCCCAAATGGTCTGCGGGCGCTGCCTCTCTTCTATGCCACCACCATTGGGATTAACACTTTCTCTATCATGTACACTGGAGCCCCATGTGAGTACTAGAGAACAGTTTTTCCTGTCTGAGATAATATTTTAATTCAGGGTGAAAAAGGCCAGAAAAAACAGCTGCTGCTCTACTTGCAAGATAAATGAATACTTTTTCTTGAACCTGTGTTTTATAATAATAATGATAATAATGACGTGCAGTGCTCGGATTGGAAATGCTGCCGGTTTGGGCCATCTTCCTCATCACGTTAGCCGGCTCGCTGGTCTGTGCCGCACTGGTCTGGATATTTGTCTGTCCTTGGCTAAAAAGAAAGATAGCAAGTGAGTATCTGCATGTTTTTTTTTATGTCTGTGCTTTCAGCGGTTTTCAGCATCTGATTAACATCTGGAGATTTCTCAGTCTGCTTCAGTAAAGTTAAAGTATGATGCTAAATAGAAGAGATGAGCTCCTCTGTGGTTAGAGTCACTGAAACCAGCAAAGCAGTCAGTGGAAGTTGTTATTGTGCGTCTTATTTCCCCTAAGGAGCATATTTTCTTTGTCTATAGCTACTGGGCCAGATGAAAAAGGGCTGGATCAATGCTCGCAGTGTAGAAAGCTTTTTAGATCAAAGCATGTAATTGTTTGTCATAATGGGAGAAGCAGCCCACAGCATGGCAGACGATAATAAAATTCTGAAAAAGGAAAAAAAAAAAAAAACTAAAATAGGGGAAGGAATATAACAAAGTCTGAGTAAGAGGAGAGATGCTGGCTGCTAATTTTCTCCAAGTGTTAAATAAATTAGAACCACCTGGTTAAATGGTCATGTAAGGAAATGTTTTACTCTTTAACATTAGGAATTAGCTTTTAAAAGGATGAGATGTAAAGACTCAACTTAGCTTGTAAAAAATAAATGTTTTAACTGAAGTCAGTTATCTGAATCCTCTAGCTCTGCACCGGTTTGGGGCTGAGTTAACCTGTTGCTTACAATGTTATGACCTCTAGATGCCATTCAGGATTACAGTCCATAGTTAGCCTAAGCTGGTTGTTTCTGTAAAATGAAACGATTGAAAGGGTCTGTGTACTTGGAGTACATGAGCACGTCATCAGGGGTATGAGCACTGGGTTTAGTTGGGATCAGCTGATCGATGTGTGTGATTAGGGCAATGTTCCAGCAGGGTTCTACTCCGTTGTTATTATTAAGTGCTAAAGTGTATAGGTGTTTTTGTTTTAATAATTTAGCTTTATTTTTCTTTATTATAATTTATTCCTGTTCCCCTTTTTCCTCTTGTGATAACCAAAAAAATGTTTTTGCAGTGCACTTGTTAAAAAAAAAAAAAAACACCTAAAAACTGATACTAATGTTCTGTTTTGGGGATATTCTATGTTTATTATTTAGTTTGGAGAAAAAAGGTGGATCAAATCAAAGCCGTATTTCAACACCTGACAGAAGAGAGGCTGATCCAATATTCAATATTGAAATGTTTTATATATGACATTTTCTGGTTTGTCTGGTATCCCTTATTGATCTTTGTGCGTATTTAAAACATAACATTATCACTCTCAGTACCTCATTTCTACAAAAAAAAAAAATCAATTAAACATTGAACTATGTGAAATGTTTTGTCTTGCTCAGCTTCTGATCGTTGCCTGATTTTCTTTAGGTCGCTTAAAGAAGGAGCAAGCTCTGTCCAGGATATCCGATGAAAGCCTTGATAAGATTCCCGAGGAGGAAGAAGAAAGCCCTGTCTTCAAAGAGCTGCCCGGAGCAAAAGGCACAGACGAGGCCGTGGTGCCTCTCACTGGAGGCAGCAGTGACAGGAGCACCAGAGACTCCAGTGGAGAGCTCGCCAACTCTGCAAATGGAGGCAGTATCCTGCCAAACGGCAGGGTGTACGGTAAGAATTTGTTTCTCTGGAAACCGTTTTTTTGAGCTGCATGACTTAACTTGGACACAAATGAGGACAAACATTCATTAACAAAATTCCTTGCAAAACTATTCACACCCCTTTGACTTTGTCGCACTTAAAGCACAAGCCTCTGTGTAGTTTAAAATGATAATATGTGATAGACCAACACCTGTTAGCATATTACTGTTTTCACACATTGCAAAGTCAGTGGCCTTTGGAAGTCACCAAAATCATGAGTCCAGCCTTCAAAGATGATGGAGGTCCAACTTCCACAAGGATTTAAACCTAAACTTACAGTCGTCGCTACGATGGAAATGTATTTATTGTGGGAGACTTGCCTGGTCAATGTTTAAATCTAAACGTATGGGTCTTAGCATGTATTAAAATATTGAGGAATTGATAGAAAGGAAGAAAAATCTAACAGACTTGCCTGTTGACAAGTTTTTAAGGTGTTCTCACTACCATCCTCCTTCTTTCCACCTTTAAGGTCGAACTCACTCCATGACCAACGGCTGCCTCAAATCACCTGTCGCTAACGGCAGCTTCACCTTCGATGGCCACATGCGCAGCGATGGCCAAGTGTACCACACGGTCCACAAAGACTCCGGCCTCTACAAAGACCTGCTTCACAAGATCCACCTGGGCCGCATGGATGACAGCGAACGCTCGGGTGCTCAACAAGCTGACAACAATTACCGTCTGCTGCGCCGCAACAACAGCTACACCTGCTACACAGCAGCGATATGCGGCATGCCCGTCCAGCCGGTCAGGCGCTCCGAGTCCCGTGACGATAGCGAGAAGCTTGTGGGTGAGGCTGGCGGCAGGAGCAACAGCGTATCCTACTCAAAGAAGCGGATACGCTATGACAGCTACTCGTCGTACTGCAACGCCGTGGCCGAGGCGGAGATCGAAGCAGAGGAGGGAGGGGTGGAGCTAAAGCTGGGCGCAGAGCTGGAGGGGGTGGAGGAAGAAGGTCAGGCCCCGGTGCCGATCGATGACTTGGCAGAAGAAGAGAATGAGGAGAAAGACAAGTCGGAGGTGTTTCTGCTTTTCCACTTCCTGCAGATCCTTACCGCCTGCTTCGGGTCTTTCGCCCATGGAGGCAACGATGTCAGGTGAGTAGTTTCATTCACACAGGGTGACGCATTCAATCGAAGGTACTTACATAGCGGAGGAATTTCCATTTCTGCGTATGTTCTCATATTTGCAGTAATGCCATTGGGCCCCTGGTGGCACTGTGGATGATTTATGACCAGGGAGGCGTCATGCAGGATGCTGCCACTCCAATCTGGCTGCTCTTTTATGGCGGTGTGGGCATCTGCGCCGGCCTGTGGGTGTGGGGACGGCGTGTCATCCAGACCATGGGGAAGGACCTGACTCCCATCACCCCGTCAAGGTGAGAGAGACTCCTCACAGGAGTGAGTGGGTGGCTGGGTGGGAACCTGTGGTGAAGGCTGATTTACTGTCCTGAATGGGTTGGTTTGACTCAATCAGGCCCACAAAAAATTGGGTTCATCCAATGGACTCTCATGATTAAACACACAAAGCTTTATTGCAGCCAACACACAAGGTCATTATATATGTAGGCTAGTTAATAATCCACAACAGGCAGACAGGAAAACCTATAAACACAATGAAACAGTCACTTCCATTGTGAAGGTGTAGTTACCACATGAGGCTCATTACCTTTTAACTGAGCTGGTGCCAGTTCACAAATGATTTATGGGATCAGCATTATTCAGATAGATCTGATTTAGTTTATCTACATGCTTTGATTCATTTTCAAACCATGAATTTTTTATTTGCTTTGAACTCCAAAAGTGGTTTTCACCTTTAAATCCAGGCATTTTTAACATCTTGTATATTCTTCCAACCCAAAGTCAGCTGCTGATTTTTGTTTTTTCCAACAGGTTGTCCAGCATGACAGCTTTATGTCTCTTACAATATATGACTGAATGCTCTTAATAATGAAAAGTGTTGTTCTAATTTTTTTTTTTGAGCTTTGCATTTTGCTTTTGAACTCTGTTCCGATCCTGAGGCTTGTTTGGCTTGTTGATTATTTCACCTGTTATGATTCAATGTTCTTCTTGTTAATCGTGTGAATGAAAATATTCGTTTTTCTGTATGATATTGGAGCAGCAAAAAAACATACCTGCAAAGTCTTCTTTCTATTTTTAGCTGCCATTGGGTTGATCATTAAATCAGAATGTGTGCCAACTATTGGCTCCAGGAATTAGTCAGGTCCTCGGTTGATGGTGGTCGATATTCCTTCAAGCTTATGCTTTTGAATTGGAATACATATCACCAATCCATATGTGTTTTTAAGAAGAAAGGAAATTAAACAGGTGAGAGGAAAAAAAATATCTAATTGTTAAATGAGGCGGATCTTTAAGAAAAGTCCTCAAAACCCAAGGCAGTCATTCCCACGTTATTTACATGAGTTTTCAGTTAATATAGGTTTAGGAATCACCTTATTTGGGCTAAAATAAACCTAAAACAACTTAATTAAGTATTAATAAATACCACTTCAAACTGTGAGGGTCTACAGCCCTTTAAGCAAAGGATAAAGAAACAGGCAGTGACCAAAAACATATAATCTGTAGAGGATATAGTTATTATTACTTGTGGCTGATGTGTACTTTAAGTTTATTTTGCATTTTACATTTTAAATGTAAACTCGAGTCGAATCAAATTAGGGCAACAGTTAAAATTAATCTAAGAAAATCACTTAAAATTGCCTGATGACATCATGAAGTCTAAAAAGCCTGTGATTAATGAGATCATTGACATTTAATGTGATTAAAATCTTTAAAACTGTGTAAGAGCTTTAATGAAGAGGAACAAATTGCTTTGATCCGAAAATATTTCTGATTAATCCAGAACTAGAATACATGACATGGATTAGATGTTAAACCAAGGCTTTATTAGCTAAATGATTGTTTAACAATCTGCAGAACCCCCCAAAACATGATCAAAAATACACATTTCTAAGCAGTACAGTTGATTTTCTGTTATTATTTGACCTGTTACATAATATATGAGTAACTGGGTTGTTTTTGTAGACTACAGCAAATGAACCCCCGCAGCGTGTTCACCAACATACGCAGCAGCGGTCAGGACGCATCGTTAACTGCTCCCTGCTCTACACTTGTCTTTGCTTCCATCTCTCTCTTGCTGTCTTCTAGTCTTCCCACACATGATCTAAACTATGTGTGCAAATGAACCTCTGCAATGTCTGCCTTTTACAAAGCATTGCCCTTTGCCTGCAGGTCGCATGCAGTGTGTTGACTGTACTGTCTGTGTGCTGGTATGCATGCATGCTTATTAGGGACTAATTGTTCTGTGTGTGTGTGTGTGTGTGTGTGTGAGAGTTGTTTTTGCCTGGCAGGAGCATCATACAGGGTTACAGGAAGTTGTTTGGCATTCCGGATGAAGTGGAGTAGGATGAGGGAGTGAGGGAACAAACCACAGTGGGAACTTCTCCGCTCAAACCACAGGGAGGGACGGCAGCCTGGCGGCGACTCTTGCACGCCCCCTTTCTTTTTTCTCCCCCCCTCTCTCTTTGTCTCTTCTCATTTCTCCTTTCAGTAAATATCTGCTGATCTCCTCATCTTCAGTTTCTTTTCTCCTCACTTCTTTGGTTGTTTTCTTCACCTTTTCTCTTTTAAATCTGTCTTCCTTTTCCCTAAGGTCTCTCAGTCCTTCCCACGCTCACGCCATCTCATTATTTTCCCTCTTTCTTTATTTCTCTACCTTTTTTATTTGCTCCTTTCTCTTTGTGTGTGTCCCCTTTTTTCTTCTACTTAATCTCTCTCCTTCCATCCCACACTGACTGGGCTGCCAGGTTCCTAAGACAAATTTGCTCTGGTTCACAGTTCAAAAGCCTCGCTTTTCTCCAGAGTCCGTTTTCATGAATCAGCCTGACAAAGAAATTTGTTTTGGGGCAAGAACAGAACGTTTTGTATTTGTGTAGTCTGCAGTACATGCAAGGGAATATATTTAAGACGTCTGACTAATCCCCTGCACAGTGAGGTGTTTTCAAACTTTAAGTATGGATTTTCATCGTTTCCATGAAGCCTCAGTCTGATCACAGAATTGTTAGCTGGTTAGAAGCAGTCAGAGCTTCCTTCCAGAGCTGCGTGACAGGGCAGCCTTAGTTTACAGAATTGCAACTACCAATCTGAGTAATTAAACTTAGTTTAGACTACTCTCAATAAGGCTACTAAAAGAAGAGTTTTAGCTATGTGAAATTTACCCAATGCATGGAAACGTACTTTGATCCCCCTCTAGCTTTCCTCTGCCAGTCACACCAAGCTTACTGTAACAGGAAAGCTTTATTTGGGACTTACGCTGCATATATCATAAGTTTTTTTTTCTGGCATCTGTGTTAGAAATGAACAATATAAAAGGAAAAATGCAAAAGTATGTCATGTATATTGTGTTTTTTTTATTATTATTATTATTTTTTAAAGAATTTGAAATCCCAATGTTTCTCCCGTAACATTGAAGTTCCCATTGAATCGGAGACTGTGCTGCTGCAGCTCTCAGTCCAGACCTCTGCATCCTGAAATCATACAATCTGTACAGAGAAACTCAGGTGGTTAAATTTTCCGACTTTAAAAAACAAAATGCAGAGCTTATGAAACAGAGATATAATTGATAATGATAATTGAACTTTATTGATCTCACATTGGTGAAACTTGCCTCTGCATTTAACCTATCCCCTTGGAGAGCAGTGGGCTGCCTTTGTAGGGCGCTCGGGGAGCAATGGAGGGTTAAAAGTCCATCACAGAGACCCGGAGTGGCAGTCTGTGGGAGTGGGGCTCACATTCAGAACCTTAGGATTCCAAGCTCTATACCCTAACCACTAGGCCGCCCCTCCCCTAACCTTTCCAAGTTAAGCAGTAACCAGTTTCTAACTTCAATATACTCTAAATACTCTATTGGACACTCTATTGGACACTATAAACCTATTGAAGTTTGATTTTTTTTTATTTAGTTTCACTTTATGCCTTGTTGATTTGTTAAAAAACAACAACAAGAGAATAGGGATCATATTTACTTGCAGATAAAACAATGATTAACAACCACATTTCTTCTAAATTTTTCTACAATTTATGAACTTTTTCAACTCATAGGAGCTTACAAAAAACCTCGTCTCTCTTGGATTCTGATAGGTTTGGTTTACATTTTGTTCATAAAAATGTCTCACTTAATGGAACTGCAACATGATTCCAATTTTTAGTTTTAAACCACCATCCAGGGGGTTTAGGTTTATATCTGGACTAAAATCAGAAACCCAATTTGCTTTTGAGAGATAAAATATTACCCTGAAGTGGTTGCCATTTAGAATAACTGGAGTCATGTTTAAGATTGGCTCTGGTAAAATGTTTGGAGCCCTCCTGAGACACAGAACGGCCGGGCTCTTTGTGAGCAGCCTCTGAGATGACATTTTAAGGATTAAATATCTGCAGTCTAATGAAATCCACTCAGAACTTTGTCTCTGCGTTGCTGCTTTTCATTTTTGAAAAATAAATAGTAGTATTAGTACAGAGGAATGTTCCAGTTTCATGCTGCTTCCTCTCTGATTGTTTTTTACTCTGAACATTTTTATTCTGCTGTTTCCTTTCACATGCATATATATTGTGTGTGTTTTCTGTCATGCATTAATGATTTTCTATTGTAGTGTGTCCGCCGGCCTGAAGCCAAAGCTCCCTGGAAACGGGGAGTGATTTTTGGAGAAAGTCTTCTTGTAAGCATTAGGCCCTACAGAGTCTTACCAGTCTGTTTCACATGCCACAATATCTGAGTTTACCTGCAAACGTTCAGGACCTCACAGAAGTGGTGTATTCTTTGTGTGTGGCTGTCTAATGACGGGCTTGGGTAATTACAGATTGATTGTAACTGTTTGGCTATGTGATGTTTAAACATGTAAGAACTGTTGAAATGTGATGTTGATGCTGGTGAGGCTGTGCCTCCAGCAACTCCGTCCCAGACATCACAGTGAAGAATGTCTCCCCTCCCTCCTTCCACAGTGGGTTCACTATTGAACTGGCCTCTGCACTCACAGTCGTGTTGGCTTCAAATATCGGAATCCCTGTCAGTACCACACACTGCAAGGTATGACCGAGTGGCCCCCTCCCATTCAGACTGACCTCTCTACTCCCCTACAGGTACCCCCAGGTGAGAGGGGAGCTGACACCTTGTCTCAGGGAACACACTCTGTCACTAAAGACTGCCCAAAATAAGAACTTTAACTTTTCTATTTTTTTTTTTTATTTAATTTAGAATTTTTTGGGATAAAATTTTGGATTAAATCCTTTTTTTTTTTTTTAAAGTAGCTTTGACAATCATTTTTGTATTTTACAAAATATTTACTAAAAATGAATTGATGAGATCTCAAAGCATGTAAAGACTTCAACAGTAACCATATCAGGCAGAAATTAAACATGAAGTCGTTTAAATCAGCTGATTGAATATCACTTAACTAATCTGGGTTTCCTTAAAAAAACACAGTCAGACTTTCTGGATTAAATGTTTTAATGTTTTGGTTCTTGCTTGACTGTGTATAAAAGGAGTTGAAAAATTACTACTGGGGTTGAGGTTGGAAACACTCAAAAGGCCAATTTTGACCAATAAAGTATGACTGGCTTGTAATAGAAGGGTTTAAGGGCTGCGGATTAAATGAAGGGATTAGAGCTGTATTAAACACTCTTTACTTTTAAGCCATTATTTAAATTTCAATAATAAGAAACTTATTTTAAAAAAGTTTCTTCTGACAGACAGCTGTTGTTATGCCAATAAAACAACTTAATTGTATTTTCCAGTTTACTGAACTGTTAACGACCTGCTGAATTAAACAAGTGTCACCACATATGCTGCTATCATAGAGAACCTGGATATGTGATAATTAAAGAATGAATAAACACATACTGCAGTCTAGGCAGTTCTTCAAAACATGTAGGCTGTGTGCAGTGATTTAGCTTAACCTTAATGTTCATGTAGAAATGGGAAGAGAAACAAAGTGATGTGTGTAGCTAAACTGGCTCCCTGCACTGTGGTCCACTTAAGAAACTCTGTAAACAGAAGAAGTCCAATTAAACCAGAAGAGATAGTTTTAGAGGCATGCTAAGGTGGTCCTGGACTGGCTTCCTAGCTGTAGAAAACCAGACGGGTTCCTAACTGGTTTTACAGAGCAGGGTGAGAACCAGCTCCGGCCCTGTTGCAAACCTCTTGTAAAGCCATATGCATTATTTTTAATCAGAGTCTGTAAAATGTGGATCTCAAAGTATAATCAAATTTAAAAAGATGGTTTTATGATGCATACCTAAATGACATTATTGTATATGATAATTACATCCCTATAAAACCTTAATATGTAGAATAAGAGAAAAGCAGATTGTGACTAAGGACCCTCATTTTGTTAAAAATCAAGTTAATAATTTAAAAATCCATTTTAAAAAAGCTCTGATATTTATTAACCAAGACTTGGTTTTAGAGGAACGATAGATGGGATTAAAGCTGAATTTTCAATTTTAAATTCATGGCTTACTTTTGCAGATTATCTTTATTAACCTGTTAAGATAAAATATCAGACTTTGCCAAAATATAGACAGCATGTCTTCTAATACACAAGTTATTTATTTAATACTGTAGCTTTATTATTTTTGAATGATTGTCAATGCTATTTAACCTGCTGCAAAGCTGTTATTAAGTCTTTCTTTCAAAGAGCAACATTTTTCGTCCTGTTGAAGCAGAAGACAATCGGACATTTTTCTATGTCCATCCTGTCTTGTGTAGCCCCGGGCCTCAGTGTGCAGCTCCTCTCCCCTGTTCTTTTCAGGAGATCCAGACTGGAGGAAGAAGCGGTCCTGTCCAGTCCCTGTCCTGCCTGATCCTCCTCCCCCGTCCACACCTGCATTACTCTGTTTCATTTCCACCAGCTCTCACAATGCTGACCTCTCAACATTGGCATGGTTTGGTGTGTGGGTCCCCTCCACCCCCCTGTGATCGGTCACTAGCCGACTTCCCCTCCATCGACCGGCGTCCTCCCATCCGATCCCACCCGGCACTCCTTGTTTTCCACTATTTTTACCTCTCCCTCTCCATCTTTCTGTCTCCACTCATTTGTCTTCACAGCGGATTTTGCATTGAAGTAATGAGTGCGCTAACAGTGCTTATTGCATCAAATGTGGGCATCCCAATAAGCTCCACCCACTGCAAGGTATTGGGTTGTTGGTAGTGAAGCTGAGGAGCCTCTGCCCTGAGAGCTTTTCTTTAGGGCTTCACCCTTTAGCTGTTGATCACTGAAATCTGTCACAACTGCTGAAGTTGAAGTTTTGATCTCTCTTGCAGTTTTCCTCCAGCAGCAAATATCCCATTTTTCCTTAATGGGAAACAATAATTATTTATTTATTTATTTATTTATTTATTTATTTCTAATCCATCCTACCTTATTAGTGTGGTCATCTGGATATTTTGGGTGTTAAATCTGTTTCTTTAAATGTTAACAATGGGATCTCTCATAGGGGCGTCATTTTCAAAATGAAAACGATGTGGAAAATTTTCCTTCAAACTAAAAAAAAAAACATTTAATATCTGTAGAAATATTCTACATTTAAATTAGCTTTTGGCTTAGATATAAATCCAACTGTGTTTCTTTTTAGCCTGTGTATAGCAATGAATATAGCATATAAATATAGAAAGTATTTTAATAACGTTATGAACAGTAAGTTAAAACAAAATGGAGTCATATAATCATTACTTATTATAACATGAATTTATCCAGAATTATTTTAATATTATTTTAACAAGATAAACAATTAATAAGGGAAGTTTTAAGTCACTGGAGGTTGAGAGGTCTAGTCCCTGTTTTTGCTGTGGAGCTGGAAAAAAAAAAAAAAAAAAACCTGGATAACCCACCTCTGGCTGTGAATAAGTTGAAGTAACTTCAACAACAAATAAATATTTCACAAACATTAACTATCCATTTATTAGCAAACAATAATATGGAGTCCCAAATGTCACATTCCCATAATTTAAATGATTTTTTTCAAATATTGATTTATGCCATGATTAAAATAATGGGAAAAATCATTTACTATTTTAATAGGCAGCATATAATTATTTAAATGTCAATAATTACAAAGCACATAATTACATCTAGAATTAACGTAATTCATTAAATACCTTTGGAGGTCATTTATCTTCACTCTGATACCTAAAGCTCACCAATTAAGTCATTTTTATTACAATAAAAAAGTTTAACAGAGATTAAAAACACTCTAGGTGATTTATGTTATTTATTATTGCATTTAAATCAGTTCAGTTTATTTATATAGGGACAATTCGTTACACCTCATATCAAGGGACTAGACTGAGATCAACCAGTTGATTTCATCCAGTTATAAACAAATTCTGATTAAAATAAAATAAAAAATGGAGGAAGTTCAATTGGTATCTTTTGTGAATAAATGAGAGAAGTAATACAAAAATTACTGCTATGACACATCACACAATAATTATTTCCTAAAAAAGAGAGAATTATGCTAAAAGTAGTTGTTCTTATTTTTGATTTCTCCTACAAATTTATAACCTTATTGTATTTATTAAAGGACAACATATTTAAGTATTCATTTATATTTTTTTTTTTATAATTGTGGCCCTTTTGACACTTATTATTTAAAAAATGTTATTCCATGTCCTAAAATAACCATTAAGTAATAAAAAACAATTACATGTTTTTTGTAAATAAATAAATGTTAATTGAGACAAATAATCATCCAATTAATGATATATATATATATATATATATATATATATATATATATATATATATATATATATATATATATATATATATATATATGAAAATTAAGTAAAAATTAGGAGTTAAGTTAATATGTTTTGCTACCTTTGGCTTCCCATACTTAAGGCTTTAAATGACTTTTAATAACCTGAAGGGAACTGCAGGAGATTCAAAACCGGTCTCCTACTGATGATCAGTTTGTCTAAACATCACTTTCATCTCCATGCGCGCCATTCCTTATCTCCATTCCTCACATAAAAACCTATCATGTTTCCTTCCCATAAATTTTGGATAATTTGCTGCTTTGCCAACAGGCTAAATCTAACGATGGTTAGAGGTTTATGAGTATGATAATTGTTTAACCTTTTCATTGATCTGTTCTGGAGATGCAAAGTGTGTGGCCCTCACTCTTACTGATTAACTTGTAAACTGATCTGATTTCTTAAGCCATTTGTTATTTTTAAAGTCTGGAAATTAAACTGTTATTTTTCAGTAACCTTCTAGCCTCTGGTACTTAACAAACTGCATCTCTGTGCATCTCCAGTGTGTGAGTAAGTGAGCGGGCATTGATTTGGTCTCATTAACTTGTCGGGGCTGACAGATCTTTTCTTTTATCAGGCTTTTTTTTTTCTTTTGAGGCTAAATTGATGCTCGGTCCTGATGTGAGTCGATATAAGATGATCATGTTCAGTGACTTTGCTGTTAAAAAGGCCCTATGGGCAGCGAGCAGTAGGACTCGGGTTACTGCATGCAAATTATTTAGAAACATTTAGACAATTTCATAGACAATTATGATAATCCTTTAGTTCATGCTGTTGGCAAACAGGCCGAGGAGAACCTCCACTGTAACGCTCAGCTTCCCACAGTGTGTCTGACCTTTCATCTACAAATGTGTTAGATAAAGTTAGCACAGGCCAGAGTGGGCCTGTAGCTCATGTTTCTGGGGCTGAATATGAGCAGACAGTCACCTGGTTAACTCCTGCTCCGACTGGCAGCAAGTCACTGAATGTGATTCTCAAACATGTCTGAAAATCTTCATTTTTCATCCAACTTTTTTGGGTTCCTTCTATTTATGGAAAGAAAAACTGCACAAGTGAAAATCTGATATTTGAATAAAAACATCAGCTTTTATTTAAGCCTGCAAGATTGTTTTTATTCTGCCAGTGTCAGACTTTCACATGGGCTTTTAGTTTGTTTAAACCTTCAGGCTTGCTGTTACTAACACACATTTGGATCTGAACTATGAAGAGCTGCAGGCTGCGCTGTTTTAAAAAAAAATGTTTTTTACAGCTGAACTCTGTCACTTGACAAATAGCACAGATATTAGCAATTTTCCTCAGGCTCTATATGTTTTTACATGGTCTGAAACACATTTCAAACAGGAGCTTTTACTGGTTTGCAGATATGATTGAATAAATGCATAGTCTGGTAAAATGTTTCCTTAGTTAATTAAAGAAAGTCAGCATGAGTTCCTTCTTCTTGTTGCTGTGAATATTTAAGGATTGTTTTGTGTCTGTGACAGATAATGACCAAAACTCATAGTTCCCTTTGAAATAGTTTGGCTGTTAAAGAGGCTTAAAAGTACAGCAACAAATCTGTCGATATCCCAAATTTTGTAGAAAAAAACAAACAAAAAAAGACAAAAATAGAAATCTTTTCAACAAATCCAACCTTCAGTTTGAGCACAAACCTCACTTCAAAAGAGATCTCTGGTAGCTCATTATTTGTTCTTTTTCTTTGCATTAACATCTCTTGAAAGTATATTTTTCTTTTAAATGCTAAAGTCGATTTAAGTTTTTTTTAAACCATTAATTGTGAATCATTACACATATGATTTATTATCCTTAAGTCATAATTAAAGAATCTTAATTTTATCTTTTTATTTATTTAAAGCCAAAATGATCACAGTTAGCAAAAATTTACACTCAAAATATGTTCGTTTTTAAAGAAATCTTTCACTTAGACTTTATGGAATTAAATTACTGAAACTGATCAATATTTGAATGATATTGTTGTTTAAAACTCTAAATAAATGGTATAATTTCATTATTGTCTCTAGCAGCAGTTGACTAATTGAGATGTCTCCTGTAATCTCTGTATTTTCTTATCACCTTTTTAATATAGGCCTACACTGCTTTAATCTTAGAGGTATGCTTTGTTTTATATAGTTTAACTTACAGACAGCAAAGCATTTGTTCTCACTGCCAGCTAAGATATTCTAAAATAAACTGACCTTAATATTTAGAAGTATAACCATTCACTAAAGAATTAGAAAAAAATATTATTATTTTTTTTTTATTTCACCTACTCTGCAACTGTTGCTTCGTACATCAACCACTTATCAGTTTTTCTTAAAACCTCTTTTAAAGTTTACCAGATTTTGAAATATTTTCCAAAAGTCTGTTGTAACCATTGAACCGTATTTACTAACAGTATATACTAACGCTGATTGTCCTACAATCACAACCACAAAGAGTTTGCTTTCTGCTGGGACTTTGTCTTGATCTGTGTTTTCGCTCAGATCAAACTAATATTTTGCCTTTACCTATAAACTAGGTGGATCTCACATAAAACATAATTAACTGGTAGAACATTGATTAGTTTGTAGATTCCCTAAATTCTGCATAATTTGTATAATTAAACACTAGATGGCAGCAAAGAGCCTCTAATATGATTCTGGCTATGTGTTAAATCCAAATGTTAATTAACATTTATGGTGCACACAGTAGTCCAAAAAGATTTAGTATCAGCATCTGTGTTTCTGTTTCTCTTTAAAGCCACCAGAACCTTCTAATAGATGATATCACAAACCCCTAAAATACCAGCAGATTTTAAATAGAAAATTTGGTGGAAGTCAGCAGTAAGTGGATTAAATGACTGCATTTACCAAATAATGATCCAAAAAGTATGACTCAATCATAAGTCGTTCCTGGATCTGAATTGTGTTGAGAGGCTGAGCAGAAGGAAATGATACAAGAGCTCTGGATGATGTAGAGACTTGCAAAGAGGAGTAGTCCGACATCCCTCTCTGTATACTTAACTGGTATAACAGGTTATAGGGGGAAAATGGTTCCCTGATGGCAAACAGTGTTTGGTATCCAATAGAACACTATATTACACATTTATGCCACTTATTAAGCCCATCAGGGTATACATATATATTTTCTAGGCTTTTTACAACTAGAAACTAGTGTAAGTAGAAATAGCCTGACCAACTGTCAGCCCTAAAAGTCTAAGTCCTGAATACAGCAAAGACGCCCTGCAGCTCTTCACTGTCCCTGCAACCATTGAATGTGTTCAGTTCTGCTGCTGATTATCTCTGTTCCTTCTCTCTGGCCGCTGCCTCTAGGTGGGCTCAGTCGTAGCCGTGGGCTGGATCCGCTCCCAGAAAGCTGTGGACTGGCACCTCTTCAGGAACATCTTCCTAGCCTGGTTCGTCACGGTGCCAGTGGCCGGCCTGTTCAGTGCCGCCGTCATGGCCCTGTTCGTCTACGGCATCCTGCCCTACGTCTGAGGGGGGCGTGGCTGGGAGGGCGAGCGGTGGAGAAGGGGAGTCAGAGAGGGGGAAACTTGGAAAGAAATCGTAGCGTGGGTAATGATGATGGAAGGCTAGCAGAACCGAGGGCGAGGAAGGAAAAGTAGGAAGAATCTGCAGAGGTTTACAAATGGACTTTGGTTGTACTATGGAGGATGTGAGGAGGGTTGGTTCCCACGCTGCCTGACTCTGATGTCCAGATATCCTCTTAACTCATCTGAGTTTCAATCAGTTCATATTTATTCTCTTTTCGGGGAGAAAATGCACCATTCAATCTGCTGTACATACAATAATAGGAAACTTTCCTTTTAATTAAAAAAGAAATCAACAGGTAAAATAGATAACCATACCAGTGAGCACATATCTAGTATCTGACATGAAAAAAATAATAATTGTAAATACTGTTGTTCTGATCCAGTGGGATCTGTTGTATTACGGTTTGCTTTGGCACAAAAAGTAACAAGAAAAGACATGCGTGCGTTTAACCAACCCATCCATCATGTCCGTTTTTATCATGCCAGCCAGGTACAACCGGGGCCAAAAGAAAAAGACCCCTCAGAAAAAGAGGGCCGTGTAACTTTTCTTTATTTTTTGTTTTTGTTTTTCCCCAACAATACCATAGAAACCTAATTTACTAAAGAATTTGATTTTTATTTTCTTGTGGAAAGCTTCTGTATGTTTTTAGAGATGAATCTCATATTTTTTAATGATGTATTATAATGTAATTTGTACTGTAAATACTGTCCTTTACGGAGGTTGGCAGTGGGATCCTGTTTTGTTTTTAATGTTGTAGAGAGAAGGGGGGTGGGCGGGGGGAGGCTCTTCATCTCATTATCATACACAGTATGCTTCATGCTCGTGGTTCAAAGAGGAAAAAAATAATAATTCTGCGGCTTAATAGGAAGCGGCTCAGTTTAAGGAAATGAACCAGAAACGTTGAGACAGAGAGGTCGCTCTCCTCAGAGCTGATTTATGCCAAAGTCAACATTTCAGCATGTCAATTTAGAGCCAATATGCCAAAACACTAAAAACTGAGCTGAAGCGTACGAGCACACACTGACGAGGTCCTACAACATATCTTTATCCTTATGCCTTTATTTTCATTCATACAGATGAGTCTGTGTCATAGCGAACCCTACTTTCACAAGAGAGATGGTGTCATATCACTAAAACATCAAAAAACAAGTCAGGAGGAGGACTCTGCTTCAAACTGTAGCTCCTCAAGCGTGTTTGAATGCAGAAGGACCTTCTGCCAGGTGCTAAAGGTTCTGTTTGATTTCAAGCATTCGGTGAGAGCTCATCTGAAGCCTGATGCTGGTTTTTGGGCTGCTCATATAACACTAAATATCACCAGACATCTGTCTGAAAGAGATGGTCCAGGGTTTCTGAAGGTGAGGCCATGTGAGAAGTCTGTTAGTAGTCGATTTCTTGGCTGCAAAAGGTGTCCTTCTAAATCTTCATTTATTGTAACGCTGCAAAGGTACATTATAATAAAAGCAACACCGGTTTACAAGAGATGAATTTTCAAACGTGCAAGACAACCTGTTTACACTTTTCTTAGGACTATCGTATTTTGTGCAGCTGGGAGCCACATTGGATGTGGAAATTTGGGTTGTTTCTTCACCATAAATGTTTTAAAGTTTAGATTCCAAGCAGCATTCTTGTTGCATTTATAACACATATATTGGAAAACTTGCTTGCATCTATAATTCTGAGCTAAACTGTATATATATTGATATTAACTGGTACTGGACACTAATGCTAAAGGCTAACCTGAGCAGACAGAGTTCTGAAACAGAATTGTAAAGTCTAAAAATTATCAACAGTTTATGTGAATTCTTTTTTTATGATGATAGAAGGTCCCCACAGAAGTTTGTAGCATTATTTCAAGCTTTTTTGGATTTGGAACACATCTACAAAATTAATAGATAAATGTTTAGTTTTTAGGGGGAATATGCTGCTGAAGATTCTCAGTCATCCAGGTCATAGTTCTTCCAAAAAAAGTAAAAAAAAAACAATCCACTGTTTGAAGTTTGAAGAGGTTTCGCTTCCCATCCACTAAGCTTTTTCAATTCAAAATCCCAGAAATAATGAGTTCATTTGGTCCACTCTATATAGCCTCAAACTCAACGCTCAAGTCTTCAAACTTGGTCCAGTGGATTTTTTTTAAACTTTTTTTGGGGGGAAGTTATGATGAAATGTCTAATTTCTGAAATAAAATGACGATTGAATTGGATAGAATAGCACACTTGTCAAAACGTCTTAACAATTCATTTTCATTAAATCTTGGTGGCGTCCTCTAAAATACTTTTAAACACCTTGATGATTTTACTTCCCTCAGGTACAATTTCAACAACCCAGAGTGTTTTCTTAAGCAACCTGGTAGCTCTTAGCACGGTGTATTCACTAATGGGGGAAAAAGTTCACTATTTGACCTTTTCCGTAGTTGAAACGGTCAAATGCAAACAATGAAAATGCAAATCGAATGCAAACTTTACTACAGATAAAATAGCATTATCCAAAATTGAACTTTAGGTTTTCAGACTGTAGGGATCTGCTCAAATTAGCAGTAAGCTTTAGCATCAGGAACAACTTTTTTGCATTTATCCTAAATGAAGATGTCAAGAGAGTCATCGACTGCAGAGAAGATATTAGCAACCCATGATCTGCTAACAGACCCTCACTTGAAAATTCCCGAACCATCCCTTTGACCTCAATCTGTCTGAAAGTGAAAGTAATTAAAGAATAATAAATATAAATGATCATCACCAGCTTTTAAAACGAGGTCACCTCAATGACCTATAGACAAAGTCTGAAGTTATTTTAGTTTGAACAAACTCTATGCCAGCTTTTGGATATCTTTGTTGATTTTTTTTTTTGTGGTGTGTTTCCTGTTTTTATCTTCTTCATGAACAAATCTATGCTTAAGTAGCCACATGCCTTGTATCGTGTTTTACTTTGTGCAGAGACCGTAAAAATTATTCTGTACTGTGGTGTTTACATTGTAACCATATTGTAGAGTATCTGTTTAAAAAAAAAAAACTGTTGCCTAATGATGCCAATGAAAGACAAACTATTAACCATGACTTTTTAAGTGCAAGAAAAAAAAAAAAAGAATATAACCAGAAGTGTGAGTACTTTTTTTTCCCAGTTGTTTTCTTGTAGTAGTGCTAATCATGATCCCCGTCACTTTACACTGCTGCTGCAATGTGTTAACACTACATGTGTGAGTGGATTTCAGTGATAAAAAGAATAAGTAGAAGATCTCATCAAAACTATATATTTTTCTACCATATCTGAGTTTTAACCTGGGCGGGCTTTTGCGCACTTGAGGGAGACGCTGTGGGCTTAAAGTGGGGAAAACATTTACATCCGAGTGGGTTTTGACACTAGTGCCCTTGTCCCGCTCTCCCTCAGAGCCTGGTAGCGTCCTCTAACAGGTAGATTGATGTCGGTCGCTATTAGATACGATTTTGAAATGACCATTTTTATTTTTTGAACTAGAGATAAAATACTTTGTAATTTTGTTTCCCTGCTGCTTTGACTTTAACCCTGAGCTGCTTGAGGAGGTCAGCTCTGATGAAAATATCTAAAACAGAAGGAATATGTCTGTATGGGGTTGTTATCTGGTTTTGGGGCAGCCGTCTTCTCCTGCAGCCTATGACCTTTACTCTCCCACAGATTGCACTGCATAGAGGTCTGTACAGCACAGCATGTTCACTTCCTCATGGTTTCTGGCCTGTTATAGGGTGCTGGTGGAATCTCTGTATTTGCGCGTAAACTGTCAGTGCAACTTGATTGTTGGAAAAATTAGAATTTTCATTTCAGTTATTATTAATCCTTTAATGCTTGTCCAACGTATCGATTTGAAATTTAAATTTATTGAACACATCCGATATAAGATGTGCAGGCACATTATTGCGCTCATGATAGTTAACCAAAGATGCATGTATTTGGACCGTGGAAAAGAGCCGGGTTGATTTTGAGATAACTCCACATAAAGCAACAGTTTGGGGAACAGCTTCAAGCAGGTCATCTGTTATAAACACTAAGGGGCCTCTAATCTTACAGACACATTGACATCCCGCCTCATAGTCCATGATGGTGGCTTTTACAGGGCCTTCTACATTTAATGGCACGTTATTAAATGTGCTTTTATTACTGTAGCATATATTCCAACATATATCTGATATAATGCAAGTTTGCATTATAATCTTGATTCATTATCAGGGATTTGGTAGTTTAAAATGAAATTTTTTATATATATATCATAATTATTACATTATTACTTGTCATTCTGACTTCTGATATTAGTAATTAGCTGTTTTCCTTTATCAATTTGCAGACTTGCTAAGACCAACAATCTGCCTTTCTTAAATGTATTCATGTATTTCCCATTTTGAAATGTAGCTTAAGAGATTGAACTCCATCTCTTATTTATGCACTTTGAAATTGGGAGGTTGGCTAGTTAAAAGCTTGTAATGCAGTTTTATAACTAAACATGAAAACTACTGCACTAGTTCCATATGATTTATAGGATTGTTTTAGAGATGACAGGATAGGATATTTTCAGTCTAAATTTGTGCTACATATATAAAAGGTAAAATTATTTATGACTTGCCATAAAAATGTAGGGAACTTAATGCTTTTTCACCAAAAGGGCAGTTATCTGATTTATTCTATCATTTGATGGTATTTCCGGTGAACATCACGCTGTGCAAGCCTCTAGTGCAACTTGCTTTCTTTTCATGCATTCTTCATCCTGATAGGCCAAAAGGGGCACATGTCTCAGTTCTGGGAGGAAAAGTCAAAACTGTTCTTTAAAGTTTTGCCTTGTAATCATTACATGTTGTTTATGCAACTTTTAAAGTAAATTTTATTTATGTGGTCTAATGTCCTGTGCTATCTGTGCAGACAATTATTATAAAACCAGTTCAAAAAAGTAAATCTTATTGTGAAAAATGCATATTTTTTCCTGTTTGTTTCAGGTATTTTAAATGACATACTTTCTATATAAATACAACCATTAGGTGACGCAGTTTGGCACTTTCCTCCCCACAAAGAACATCATTTTTGAAACTGTTCACGTTGTTAGTGAGGGCTTTGGTGTGCGTCTGTTGCATTATGATGATTTTCTAAACAGGAACTATACAGAATGTGCCATTTTCTTCTCTTTCCCTGAATGTGCAATACTAGCTGTTCTGAAAGTGCAGCTTGATCACAACTGGTGTACAACCGCTGTCTCATGGTTGGATAGAACAAACTCTCCTTTACAAAAAAATACAAGACAGGGGTAAAGGTTCAGAACTTCATCTGAATATGGCGTGCTATCATCTGTTTCTCTGGTCTTTTCTGTAATCAAATGTGCTCCTTGGCCGACCCTGCAGGCTTCGCAGCTCTGTGTCGTCTTTTTAATGTTTACTGCTTCTCAACTGTCCAGTCCATTAAAAGTTAAATGGAAGAAAAAAAATGCAAAGAAATTCAGGATAAACTGTAGCCTGCTTCTATGGAAAAAAAAATCCCAAGCTCTTTTGATTTGCATATATTGTACTGTAATGTTTTATTTAAGATTTTTAGTGGAACAAAAAATGTCATGTTTAAACTAAATTATGGGAATTAAAATTACAAAGAATACCTAAAAAAAAAAAAAAGAGTTGCCTCTTTATTTCTTGGGTGTTGTTCATATGTACTAAGGTTTCTCCACGCTCTTATCAGTCATTCTTGTAAAAAAATATATATATTTTAGTTGGATTAGATGTCATATAAGGCATGAAGACATATTCATTTTTTTTTTTTTGCTTTGCGCTTCAGTTTGCAGAAAGCAAAGTTTGGTTTATAAAATATTCTCTTTATAACAAAGGACACCAAAGGTCCAGATTTATATATATATATATATATATATATATATATATATATATATATATATATATATATATATATATATATATATATATATACTTTTCAGAATCTCTAGTTCATCTCTTTAGTTTTTATTTTTATGTATTTTTTTATAGTACATCACTGCACAACCACAACGTATGTAGTTGGAAAAATTATAAAAAGGTAAATTTACATCCAGAATTCTAAGTCAATACGTAAAGGAACCATATTTTGCTGCAATTACCTCAGAAGTTTTTTGGGGGGTACATCTCTACTAGAGACACTGAAATGCCCATTATTCTTTGCAAAAGAGCTCAAGTTTAGCCCGTGGATATTTTTCTTTCCACAGATTCTTACAAATGCATGAATTTGAATAATTATAAAGTGGTTCTTTATCCCTTCATGTCTGCAGGGCCCACTGGCCTACATGTTTAAGGTCTGTGCTGCCAAACACACCTGATGGGAGGGTTGATAGGTTTCTGCAGCATTTAATGCCTGATGAACCACTGAAGTCAATCAGTAAAAATGTAAAAACAATCCACTGGACTTGGTTTCCAAGGTTTGAAGACGTTTCACTTCCCCTCCAGGAAGCTTTCTAAATTCAAATGTCTGAAGTCAACTATTGCACAATAGCTCTGTCTGTGTTTTATGGTGTATATCAATCTGGAAAATGGACATAAACCCCTTTAAAGGCCTTAACATGTTTTACCACAGAATGACCCTTTATTTAACTCCATCTTACCTTCTGCCTCCTTAAGAAAACCCATCCTACAGGTTTTATACTTGTATTTGAAAACAAAATACAAAGCTCATGTCAGATAAAAACCTAAGGGGATCATGTATAAGGGATGTGTTTAATGTCTTTTAAGTATGTTGAATCCAACTAGAATACATCAGAGGTTAGTATTCGTTATGGGACAAAGTGTGAAAAGGTAAAGAGAGTTTAGTATCTCACAAAAAACTTATTTAATGTATGAAAGTTAAAATAAAGTCATATTTTCTATGCGGTCTGCTTTATATCTATTAGATTTAGGATAAACCTATTTAAGAATACAAAACTATAATCAATATGGGAAAAAATGTGAGCACATTTCAGAACAAGAAACTTAAGGATGGCTGAAATTA